CCCCCCTTCCCTCCTGTTGCTTGAGGTCCATTGTCACCACCTGCAGGGAGGGCAATGCCAGTGGCTCTGGCCTTGGCCCCCCCCTCCATCCACTCCGTTGCTGCTGCCTCCAGGGAGTAGGGTGGGGGCGAGGCCAGCATAGCTAACCACCCCCCCCCATCCCCTGTGTGTCTGCCATCACGGCGGTGCTCCACTGTGCTGCTACCTTCTGTCTGAATGCCGTATTTGCATATTTGCACTCTGATTTGGCTGTTTCAGTCAGCTGGTCAGTGTGTGAATAAAGTGTTTTGGACAGAAAGACGGTCAGATTAAGGCTTTTATAATAATAGAATTTTTTATATATATAAAAATAAAAAATCTGTGTGTGTATGTATACATCTGTATGTGTGTGTGTGTGTCTGTCTCAACACATAGAGAGAGGTGTGTATGTATGTGTGTGTGTGTGTATAGATACATATATGTGTGTGTAGATATATATAGATTATAGGAAAGAGCCTCTTGAAAACTTTTGGCTCATTTCTGGAAGACATCAAGTGCCTTCAGTCAATTAGAAAGGAGACAGGAATTTTTTTCAGGGGAGGCACTTTCTTTCATCTCAAAAGACAGGAGGAACCTGTAAGGAGACAATACACCAAACTCACTTATGTTTCTACTCAGGGCTGTATCTGTCTTTTTCTGTTTCATCATCTCTTCCATACTGTTAAAAGGAATGCTCTAAAATATTTAGATTTGCAAACTGCGTACTGAAGTAACTGAAATAGCCAGGCCAAGGAATCCTGTACAACTGTGGGAGGGGTGTATTCACTGCATAGCTGCTTTGGTTTTAGGCAGTTGCCTAGAAAACCCTCCCAAATCCTTTCAGTCCTTGTGAGCTGAAAATGTCAAGTTGTAAATAGTGTGCGTTTTGTATTCTTGTTACCACTGGGTTCTTTGGGCTTGCTGGCTCTAAAGGGCTCATGGTGAGAGTTTTTTTTTTTCTTGGCGACTGAGGGGAAAGAAGCTGAAGACAGACATTTACTTATTGTGTGGCAATTGTAAGGGGGAATGGGAAAAGGTGGCCCAGCTCTCAAGTGCCTCCATGTTTCTATAGCAGTAATGCTTTCCAGTTCTGTTACTGTTTTTATAATTCTTTAGCATGAAAGCACTGCAGCCTCTGTTTGTTTTCCCTTGTTTCTGAGCTTTCTTGGAGTTGCTTGAAGGTCTCTCTAACTAAAGAAACATGCATTTGAATGACACTTTATCTGTTTCAGAGGAAAGGTTCGTTCCTTTCTTCCAAGAGGAAGACTGCCAGCAACAATTGCTAATGGGACTGGTATGTGTTGCATTTTGTGTGCCAGGAGATGCACAACCTTAATAAGCATGAAGCATAACTTTACATTTTATTTTTATATTCTTTCTTCCTAAGCTGTTGTATTCTGTGCTTCTCTGGCAGTTTAAGTTTACGGGTGGGAAGAATATAAATGGGCAGGACATGGAGCCATAGAGAAGTTTTTTGGTTTCTGTCTTCCAGGTCAGGTTATAAAAGCCCCAGATGGACAGGAAAAAGGAGGGGAGACAGTTACTCCCTCCACTCTACCTTTTCTTTTCTGCTATATTCTTGCCTAAATTCAGTTTTTTTCCATTCTCATGTGGCTCTATCCTATATTCTAAACAACTGTCTAACTTATTTTCAGTATTTAACTTCGTTTTAAACATTTCTCCATACCCTCCTGCCTCCCCATGGTTAGCTGATTTTTTTCAAAGAAAGAATTGGTAAGATTCCCTATGATCTCTTTTAATCCCCCCTGTTTTCCCTCAACTTAACTCTGAGTGCTTGCTCTCATGCTCTATACCTCATCCATATCTCTCCAAATCTATTCTAGAGCTGCCCTCTCTTTTTACAGCATTTTCATCTTCTTTCTCTTTGCTTACAGCTACAGTCCTGTGCTATCCCTCTTCTTCTTATCGCACATCTTGGATACCTAGGACTGGATATATTGCTGTCACCTTAAAGTCAGCAAGGCTAATAACTAATTTTTCATCTTGCATTTGAAATCTCCTGTTTTTGCATTTTTCATCACCACCTCCCCTGTGGAATTTGTCTGCATGCACATGTTCAGATGACCTGGGAGAATTCTCCCAGATCTCTTTTTCTGGCAGAAAAACTTACCCAGAGACCCCTGAACAGACTTTTGAATTATCAAGCTGTTGTGCAGCCAGGGGGACCTTGTGCACACATCAGTCTGCCCTGCAGGTTCCCAAGTCTTCATGATGACAGCAGTGCACAGGGCAGCTGTGATTGGCTGACCCAGGCTGCCTTGCAGTCTGTGTCTCCCTGCAGCACAATGAGGGGATTGTGAAGGGGGCTTCTGTATTGGCTGGAGCAGAAGAATCCAGGCCAAGTGCCACACTCTTCCCATGAGCTGTGTGAAAGGGGGAGACGAGCTAGGTGCAAAGCACGCTGGAGTACTGTGCAACTTCTCTTAGAAAGTACATGTACAGAAGTTCACTTTCCCAGGAGCTATTTAACTCTGGTTATGCCTGGATTATTTTCTCCTGGAGCAGCCATTTTTGCTGTAGGAGAAATATGAATGTCTGCATGCTTGTGGTTTCAACTGGGAGAGCAGCAACTTCCCCAGGAAAAACTGAATGCCTGTATGTGGTCTAAGGCTTATATTTTGCTTTTCTGCATGTTGCCCTCCCCTCTTTCTTGCCACCGTTTTTTGCACAACTTCTTCCAAGATCCATCCACTTACCTGTCCATACAGCCAAGACCAATGTAGACTCCCATCATCTTCCTCCTGTTCCTTCTGTATCTTTATTGCACTTCCTGCTCCTCTGTTGCATTGCATTTTCATTAGTTTGTAAGCTGCTTGTGTCAGGAATTTGTTGGGTACTCAATGCATCTCTGGGAAACATTGGAAATAATCCCAGAAGGTTTATGTTATGGTTCAGGAAGGAATTGGTATAGACAACAGAAGCTGCATGATGTCAGGAGCATGTTAGGAGGTCTTTCCAAACAGCATAATTGGGAGATACAAGCTACATAGTAAACTAACTTGTTTCATATCCCCCCTTACATTAAGTTTTCTGTCAAGTTTCACTAAAGTGAAACTTTTCTACTCAAAGGTAATAGTTTTCTCTGCCATTACTATGGGTTTTATCGTTTCTTCACAGTAAAATTTCCCAGGACTCATTTCAGTATAATACTACTAAAGTTGAATGCTGAGAATTGGTCTCTTTCAGAATCCTCTCTTCTTCCAAAAGTATTGCCTAGGATTCTAGCCACAAATTATAATATGTAACAGTGTAACTTGTCAGGATGTAAGGAGCATGGGGAAGGGGTTAGTAGTGTAACTTATTTCCTTTACAGAAATTCAGATTAAAAGGTGTCTTTTCAGGTCATGAACAGTGAAAGGCATGGAAATGCTCATTGTTTCATTTAGCTGGACCCACACTAAATCATAATTTTTAAATGTCTGAACTTGCTATTTACATCAGTGAGAATGTGTAGCAGCTTACAACCTCAATGTGAACTGCACTTCCTGTAGACAGAATATTGTTGTGCTAATTAATGTAAATCAAGCCTTGCACCTGCTTTAACAAATTTTGTTTGAGAAAGCAGAAGGACTTAAAGATTGGTTTCCTTTTCTAGATGGTTGCTCAATTGAAAGATCACCTCATGAGGCATCTACAGTATGTAGGAAAAAAGAAGATTGATCAGATTGTTGTGGATTATGTTTCAAACCTGGTTAGTGGCTGTTTTTTCTTAATTTTGCCAAACCTGAATTACCACTCTTAATTGTGGGGGTGGGTAAATGTGTGCACATGCATATGTATGCATGTGCCAGGTGTTTTTTTTGAAGATGGTCTTCTCTGAGTCATTTACAAAGCTGAACACACTTTTTGCTTAAATAATAAGCACCTGTTATTTACTTTTGTTAGTAAGCTTCATTCCATACTGAAAGAGAACTGCTCACATTGTACTTACCAGCTTTTGTGGTGTGAGAGTATTAAGTCATCTCAAAACTGGTAAAATGTATTAATTTAATTTCCTGTGAACTATTGTTACTATATAAGTCAGTAGTTGAGTGCTGATTATCTTTGCAGGGAAAACATAGAAGAGAAATAAAATTATTTATTTCATTTTCATACACTGGAACTGAATTCTGCTCTCTTCCTGATGCTAAATGCATTGATTTTAATGGGAGTTTCACAGATGTAACAGAATTTTCCCATCACAACTAATGAATACACCTCCTTAGGGCATGTTTGGAGGAAACGTGGGGCACGTGTGCACGACACTTGAAAGCGGGTTAAATGCTTTTGCACCGCTTTAATGGTGTTGGTGTTTGCACATGTCGGCGGCCTATTGAGCATTAATTCCAGCCACTGTAGCACATTTGGTGGTGTAATGCATCTTAAGTTACTATGGGGCACAGCAAACTAAAACGCCTCTGAGAAGTTTGTTTGCTGCCCTACAGCTGTGGAGTAAAGCACTGAGCTTCGTGCGGCTCAGGGACTGTGCAGGCAGCCTGGCAGCAGCCTGGGAAGACAGGAGCCTGCCTGCCTGCATGAGCTGCATGGGGACCTGCTCCTTCCCTCTGTGGCTGTAGGGCCCCCTGGGACTGCCCAAGCTGGGTGCCTGTGGGCAGGTGCTGCCGGGGTGGGGGAGGTGCTGCTGCCACGGAGGGAAGCACCAGCTGCCCCACCACCACCCCAGGGACCTCTCTGCCCGCCAGCAGCTCACCCTCCCCTCCCGGCCACCGGAGAGGCTGGTAAGACATGGGTGTACACAACATAGGGGTTTACTTCGCCCTAAATTGAAGTGGTGTTTTTTAAAAACTCACCACTTCAATTTAGGGCCCCTGTTTCATGTACACATGCCCTTAGATACTTGTATAAGAATGTGTTTTCTAAATTTCAGTTTTTTTCAGTATGCTGTAATGTGAGAGAAACTTAACCTGTATCTTGTTTCAAATGCACAGAAAAGCATGTACTTTTTTGCTTTGGGGCTCAGTTCTGTATGTTATCTGAAGTTAGGACTTTTAGAGGAGTCGGTAGCACCATAGGTGGAAGACTTGCAGAATCAGTCTGTACTAGCTTTATTATTAGGAGTCTATTCAATTTGTGGCTTCACAGAAACTATGAAATCCAGGATTGTCCACAAAATCAACTTAAAAACCTTAATAAAAATAAAAGTTCTCACTGCCACATCCTGGCCTTACAACCTGCCCATTGGGGAAGGTGCCAGTTGGTGGGGTGGCACAAAAGGCAGAAGCTGAGATAGCAGCCACCCCTTGTTCATCTCTCCTCCTCCCATCAGGGCCTCTCTGCCAATCAGCAGTGAGGGGTGAGTTCACATGAAGGGCAGCCAACAAACAAGGTGGTGGCTGTTGCCACCGTCCCTCCTCCCCCGCTGGGGTCTCTCCACCAGATAACACCAGGGGTGGGGCCAGTGGAGCAGAATTGGGAATTATCTGTGAAATTTGCTCTTTATGCTGCAGCCAACCCATGAAAATTGTTTAGTTTCACTGCAACTTAAGTAGGTCCCTATTTGTTACGAATGTTGGCTACAACAAATGATAGGATTTGAGTCGGACAGATTTAGCCTGTGTAGCTTCTGGTCCCAGGCTTCATGGTTTGTGGAAGACATCTGCTTCCAGAAGGCATCTGAGCTATTCCCCAGCTCAGGTAGGAAGTCTCATACTTCCTCAGGCTACCTGAATTCAGTGGTCCACGTCGCTCAGAATTTGTCCACTAAATAAACCTACCCAGTCGTTTAATCATGGCTTGTTGTTTAGTAAGCAGTACCTGTTTTTTATATTCATGTTACCAGGATGAGACTAAAACTAGTGACTGATAAAACAAGAACAGTGAGACTTGCTGCTGTATAAAGGCTTACTATTTAAAACCAATGCTTGAAAGAGGCAGAAGTTTGCCAAGTTTTTTTCTAATTTTTTTTTCTTGTTTGTTTCCTCTTCAGTATAAATCAAGATAAGAATCTGTCAGTATAAGAAAGCTTATTTGGCCCTGTTCCACCAGCATTTCCTGGCAAAACGGATAATTTTAGAATATGCCTTTAAAAAAAAAAAATAGAAAACCTTCCTCCTCCCCACACTTAATAAAAAAAACATGACTAGTTCTGCCTAACTTCACCAAAAGCAGGAATTGTCCTCATATGCAACTTACAGACTTCCATTCCTGTAGGTGCCTTAAGGCTGTTATAACCAGACCATACAAACTGCTTGCGGCTTACACGTCTAACTAGATTCTTTTTATAGCTTGGCTTGGGGAGCCCCTTGTCTCTCTAAATTCATAACATTTTAACTTTCCCCATAGGCAATTGGTAGGGGGCGCATGGTGGCTGACACTGATGCTGTCGGTAGGGCTGGTGCCCCCCCCGATGGCCCATCAGCAGCTTCTGTGGGTGTACCCCCAGATTCAGGAGGCACTAGTCACTCATGACCTTCCCCTTTTTCAACCAAGAGACTATGATCAACCCTCAGTATTGCTCATGGACAGCATAGAATCATAGAAAAATAAGGCTGGAAGGCTTCTAGTTCAACCCGACCCTTAATCTATGAAACTATGAAACCCCTTGCCCAAGGTAGAAATGCCTCTGTATAAATTATCCTTCCTGAGTGTTTGTCTACCTTGTGCTTAAATGTCAGTGTTGGTAATCTGTTCCAGTGCTTAAGCTTCATATTTAGAAAGTTCTTCATAATATCCATGCACCCTGACCATCATACTTTGAATTGAAAAGTATGGGTGAATCTGTGGTGGGCTTGATCTGTCATAGGCTTGTGACATACCAGTGGTCCACAAATAAGTTTGAGAACTACTGCTTTATCCTACAGGTTGGTGAAGTTGCCTGGAACAGGTAGTACTTGGCACTCTTAACAGATTGCATTAATGTAAATTTACTAGTGTTTGAGAACTAGTGAAATGGATCCAAAAAACAAAAACAGCCCCAGAGGTGCACCACATCCAGTTGTCCAGTCCTTTTGTGGTTAAGGCACACCAAGTTATGTAGCCAGCAGTACACAAGGGAGTGATGAATTGCATCCAGCCACCTTTGAGTTCCCAGCTCAAACAGGCAGATTGCCTTTAACAATTGGTTTCATATAGGTGGTCTTTGGAGTGAGTCTGGAGTAAGGCTTGAACTCTTATCTCTAGGTTCATGAGGAAACACCTGAATCACTCTGCTCCTGCATCTCAACTAAAAGAGGAAGAGGTAGTTGGCCACTATAGTGTGAAGTCAGGCAGAAAGTAGGGCCTGCTGGCATCTTAGATGCAGAGCTTGAGGCATGAGCTTTTGTAAATGGCCCTTTTGTCAGACAGTAACCTGCAGCAGCTCATTACTCTCAAAGGTGCCCGTTTTCTCCCTAGTGAAAAGGAAAGGACTTGTCTTTCTGGACTGTCTTAATAGTATTATTTTTGTTTTCTACAGTAGTGGCAAATGGCCCATCAAGAATAGGACTGAGAACTTTTTTATGTTGGGGCTGCACAGACTCAGAGTAGCAGACAGTTCCAGCATTGAAGAGATTAAGGATCTTGTTGGGTGTTACCCTTGGCACCAGTTAAACACTTAAAATGTTTGCATATGGGGGCTAAACTCATGCCAAGGGCTCTCTGATTGGCTGAAAGTTATGCCTCTTTGGGCAAGGATTTTTGCGTCTCAGCCCTGGGATCACAAGGGAGCAGTTGCAGGTAATTTTTGGGTCTCACTCCCGGTTTAAAAGTCTGGTGGGATCCTACGAGCATATTAAGCATTGCCTTGAAACTGTGCAGAAAGCTTTCTAAGACACATCAATACTTAACATGTTTTATGTTTAGATCATATTAAGTGTAACAAAGCCCTAAGTGTAAAAAGGAGAGAGAGACCTGAAGGGGAAAGACCTAACAGGTGAGCCTAGTCAACAGCAAGCATCACAGTACTTCCACAATTCTGGGGGAGTGGGTTTGGTTGGGAAGGGATTGGCTAAGTGTAAGGAAGAGTGAAGGAGATTGTGGAGGAGGAAAGCTCTGGTGAGGAGACCATGAGAGAGAGGGTTGGGACATGAAGCCGACTGGTACAGGGCAAAGAAGGTCCAGTGAAACTGTAGGAACATCTTTGAAAGTCCCTGCTGTGGCTAACCCTACTGTTCTGGAGCTCGTTTTGCCCTTTATGGGCACTGAAGGCACCAACTGGGGAGGACCCGGCTGGACCTCATTTTTATCCCTTTTCTCCCTCTGGCAGTCCCTGCTTTGGCTGCTTCAGCAGGTGATTCTACAGAAATAATCTAGAAGATCATCCATAACTTCTAGTGATTTCAGTAGAATCTGAGGATCCTCAGTGCTGAGAAGCAGGGCTAAATATTCAAGAGACCTAGACATTTGAAAATGTTAGCCCAGGTCCCTGGAGCCTGCACTGGCCGAACCTATTTCACTATTGTTGCTATTTACTCAAATCAGTATTTCTCCAGCTCTGTTTTAAGAGTTGCAAGAGAAGAGGCTTCCTCTACCTCAAGGCTATTCAACTTCTGAGCATCCAGAGGCTGCACCAGCAGGGGCTGCATAGCTTGGAGGCTTCACTAATGTGAGCCACAGGCCCCCAGCCCGCACCTGCTTGCAGGCAACGATGCCTACCTGCACACACTGCTGCACCATGCAGGTAGCTCCCACCTCAGCTCCTTTGCTGCATTGGGCAGCAGGCTTCCTTGGTTCATCATCCTGCTCTCTGGGGACAGGCACAGGAAATGAAAGCTGAGAGAAGGAGGGGGTGCCTAGAGCCCCTGGCTGCATGAGCAGCCAGAGAGATAAGGGAGCAGCAGCTGGGTAAGAGCCCAGGGTATGCACATTAAAGCCTTGCAGGTCACATGCATCCTGCAGGCTGCCAGTTGGGCAGCCCTGCTCTACTTTGCCAATCTCTCATCCCTGTTCTAGCTGCTTGTTACTGAGGGGAGAACTGGCTTTATGGCTAAAGCCTGGTGTCAAGAGTTCACTTCTCACTTCCACCACAGGCTCGCTTTGTGACTGAGCAAGCTGCTATGTTCCCCATCCAGAAGGCTAAGAGAGTGCTTCCTTTCACCCCTGCATGAGACTGTAAGCAATCTCCATTGGGGGAGGGAGCATCTCTTGTTGAATATTTTTATGACCTATCCTAGTAGGGCTTCAAAGTGCTATCGTACAAACAGCAAATGTAGCTTGGATACTCTCAAAATGATGATGGTTACATTATAAATGACCTTGGTCCCAGTGTTAAGAAGATGAAGGATTTTTACATACGCTTGAGGAAGCTACCTTAAGTGTGTCTTTTGCTTGTCAAACTTTCTCTAAAGTTCTGTCTTTTTCCTTCCCTTTTTAAAATCCATGTTCTTGTTCCAGTTCGGCATGTTTCTCTGGTAGCCATTCAAGCTTCACATCCTTACTTGGGCCTTGGACACACAGGATATTTATGCTGGTGTCATTTCCAGAGGGTCCAGAGCAGATGGACCAAAGAGCTTATTCCAGTGTATTAAACACTAGGCTGCTTTTTCAGGACTTCTCTGCTAGGTGGCAGGGCAGCTGGTGACAGTATTTTTCATTTGAGCAAATGATTATCCTGGTATAAGGTGCAAGTGTGGAACACCTACACCAGTATAATTTTACACCCAATGTAGTTCTGCCCCCAATTTCTTCAGGGACAGTTCTACACCAGACCGAATGAAATTATTCCTGTGTAATCCTAGAACCATAGAAAATGAGAGTTGGAAGGGACCTCAAGAGGTCACATCTAGTCCAACCCCCTGCTCCAAGCAGGACCGTCCCTAAAGCCTCCAAGGATGGAGATTCCACAACCTCTCTGGGTAACCAGGGCTTTACTCCCCTCCTCGTGAGAGAGCTTTTCTACTATCTAACCTAAACCTCCCTTGCTGTGACTTGAGACCATTGCTCCTTGTTCTGTCATCTGCCACCACTGGGAACAGCTTAGCTACATGCTGTCTGGAACCACTCTTCAGGTAGCTGAAGGCTAAATCCCCCTTTAGTCTTATCTTCAAACTAAACAAGCCCAATTCCCTCAGCCTCTCCTCAGAAGTATTGTGCCCCAGCTCCCTAACCATTTTTGTTGCCCTCCACTGGACTTCTCCAATTTGTTTACATCATTTCTGTAGTGGAGGACCAAAAACTGGACAGAGGACTCCAGTTGTGGCTCACCAGTGCTGAATAGACAGGAAGAATCACTTCCCTCAATCTGCTGGCAGTGTTCCTACTAATGCAGCCCAGTGTGGTGTTAGCCTTCTACACGACAAAGGCACACTGTTGTCTCCTATTCAACTTATTGTCCACTGTAACCCACAGGTCCTTTTCGGCAGAGCTGCTGCTTAGCCAGCTGGTCCACAGCCAGTACCAGTGCATGGGATTGTTCTGTACTAAGCTTAGGCCTTTGCACTTTGTCCTTATTGAACCTCATGAGATTTATTTTTGGTCCAGTGCTCCAATTTGTTGAAGTCTCTCTGACTCCTAGCCCTACCCTCCAATGTATCTACTGCTACTCCAACCCATCTTCCAGGTCAATGATGAAGATATTAAATAAAAATAGCTCCAAGACCGATCCCCTGGAGCACTCCATTTGATACCAGCTGCCAACTAGATATCAAGCCATCGATTTACTACCCTTTGAGCCTGACAGTCTATCCAGTTTTCCGTCCACCGTATAGTCTATTCACCCAATCCATACTATATTAGCTTGCTTGCAAGACTGTTGTGGAAGCTAAGGCATATCACATCTACTGCTCTCCCCACATCCACAGAGCCAGTCCTCTCATCATAAAATGCAATCAGGTTGGTCAGGCATGATTTGCCCTTGGTGAATCCATGCTGACTGTTCCTAATGACCTCCTCCTCCATGTGCTTTGAAATAGATGCCTTGAGGACCTGCTTTATGATTTTTCCAGGGACTGAGGTGGAGCTGACTGGTTGCTAGTTCCCCAGATCCTCCGTCTTTCCGTTCTTACAGATAGGCACTGTATTTGCCCTTTTTCAGTTATCCAGGACCTCTCCCAATCTCCACAAGTTTCCAGAAATAATCACTATCAGCTCATCAGTTACATTGGCCAACTCCTTCAGCACACTTGGGTGCATCATGTCCAGCCCCACGGGCTTGTACATGTCCAGCTTTTCTAAATAGTCCCTAACCTGTTCCAGCTGCTCACCTTCTCCCGAGACTATGCCGACAGGTGCAGTAGTCTGGGAGTTGACCTTGCCTGTGAAGACTGAGGTGAAAAAAGCCATAGAGTACTTCAGCCTTTTCTACATTATCTGTCACTAGGTTGCCCCTGCCATTTAGTAAGGGACCCACATTTTCCGTGACCCACATTCTTGTTGCTGACCTACTTGTAGAAACCTTTCTTGTTACCTTTCATGTCCCTTGCTAGCTGCAACTCCAATTGTGCTTTGGCCTTTGTGATTTCATCTCTGCATGCCCAAGCAATACTTTTCTACTCCTCCCTAGTCATTTGTCCAAATTTCCACTTCTTGTAAGCTTTCTTTTTATGTTGTCGCTCACTGAAGCTTTCCCTGTTAAGCCAAGCTGGTCTTGTGCTGTACTTACTAGTCTTCCTGTGCATTGTGATGGTTTGTTCCTGCACCCTCAGTAAGCTTTCCTTAAAATGCAGCCAACTGTCTTGGACTCCATTCCCCCTCAGAGTGGTCTCCCAGGGGATCCTGCCCATCAGGATGTGTTCACATCATTTGTCTACTACTTGTTTACACTGGTGTAAAGGTCAGTAACACCTGCATTACAAGTCTAGGCCGATGATCCTCAACCTTTTTAGACTCTAGGAACCCCTCAAAAAATGCAAGCTCTTTGTTTTCACTAATTTTTTGACTACAGAATAATAATAGAGCAGTCTTGCAAAGAACTTGAAAAGACCACAACCAGTCAAAACAAAATGTTTTTAACACTGTAGATTCCTATTTGAAATTTCTGGGTTTATCTCATGAATCGTGTTTGCACATCTAACAGTGCTAACATTGCATGACACCCTTGAAAGGATCTCAAGACACCCTGGTTGAGAATCACTGGTTTAGTCTCTCATTTCCAGAGGTAACACTAGCTCCTGATGGAGTCACACAGTAGTTAGCCTCTGATGCTAGCTGGACCAGAAATAAATGGCTTTCTAGGTAGGTGTTCTGGCCCTTGCCTGACAACTGGAAGTTATGCATTTCCTGGGTAATTAATGGCGAAAAACTGCTCCTCTGGAGTGCTTAAACAGGAATTTTTAATCAAGTCCAAAACAGTTTTGAACTTTTGAATAACTTCTGGTGCATTTCCAAGCTGTGTAGCTGCTGTGCACTGAAGTTAAAAGCACGAGTAGCAGAAGTACCGCCAGCACGGGAAGGCTGCATGATAGAGAGGAAAAAGCTAACCTGGTTCTGTGCTTCCATCTGCCCTGGGTTGGGCTCATAATGAGAGATATGTGGAGACCCCTGTGGGAAGTGCTGTGTGAGACCAGTGTATGAATTCTGTTCCTGTTGGCTTCCATGTTTGTAATGCATCAGGAAGATTGAGGACACAGTGTCTTTGCATAGCAGAGAGACTGGGAGACAGGATTTCTGGGTTCTAGTCATTTTCTATGTGTGGAAGAGTAGTTGACCTGTCTGTGCTTCAAGGTGCCCCTCTGTAAAATGGGGTTATTGCTTAGTTTAGGAGTGCTTGAAGGGATTACTTGAAGACATGGTTTGGACCCTCCTCCTTAGACAAAGGGCATATGGGAAGTGCTAAAGGTGTATGGCGGTGTTGTGCTCTGAAGGCTTCTGATTTAATTGTTATTCCAAACAGCCTCACCTGGCAGTCAGGCTCTGGGGAAGAACGAGGGAGATGGCAGCACAGGCTACGCTGAGCGTGCCCAGAGGATTCCTTCGGCACTCTCCGAGTGGGCGGGCCAGGTTCTCTTTTTGACTGCAAGGCTAGAAGGACCCAGAGGTGAATGGGGCTAGAAGTTTCTGCTGGCCGGTAGTTCTGTCCTGTAGGTCAGGCAGGAAGCATAAGAGATGGTGCGGGCCAGAGATTTTTATTGCAATAGGAAGGGGGTGGAGAGGAGGTTGGAAGCTAGAGAAGAGAAACTGAACTGGGAATTCATGAGACACATTCCTGCCTGAACTTTCCTTCTCCTTGGTAGGTCTGCAACTGGCTGATACCCAGCCTGTGTTCTCCATGTAGCTTCCCTCATGCAGCAAGCTGAATATCCCTCTGCCTTCTACATTTGCCAGTTGGATTGGGGCCCTTGAGTTCTCTTGTTGCCAAAATGCACAGCCATTAGGAGATTAAGGTTTTACTTGCCTCCTGATCCTGGAGTGCGCTTGCATCTGTTTGTGGTCAGAGAGCATGCTTTCAGCTGAGGCCTGGGCTACTTGCTGGTGCACACTGCAGGAACACCAGTGGATTGAGAGTGTGTAGTTTTAGGACTTTCTGGAAAAATGGCAGGAACTTCTGAACTCCTAGTTAGCAGGGTCTTAACATTGACACATGGTTATAATCCAAAATGCTCGCTGAAAGACTTATGGACACTAATGGCCCTCTGAACATGAGCTCTTACGCATGCCAGGATTTTGTTTTGTTTCTTCTTTTAGCTGGATCTAATGTGTCGGATGATGGAAGCAGTTTGGAGGAAATACAACCTTCACCCCTGCGTCTTCTCCTTGTAAGTTTGTTTGTTTTTTGCGTTTAGCCCCCAGCGAGTTAGATTGTGGGCAGAATTCTTGCAGAGAAGTGGTCTCTGGAAACGCTTGTTCCTGAACCCAGCCCCAGGTTGCTGGGTTCATTCATTCTGCCTCTCCTATGACCCTCCCAACTCTCGCTGTCTAACCAGTCTTGGATAGCGAACATGTAGATACCTCTGTAGAGAAGGGGGCTGGCATTCAGCATCACTGAGCTCACATTGATTTCAGCTTGGCTAACTGGCCACTTAACTAGGTAACTGTTTATAGACGCAGAGTAGGTCTAACTTTAGACACTCAGTTTAGAAAGTTTTATCTCATTGTTTTTAGTATCCTGTATGCTGTAGAAAGGGAGGTACTGGATAGATTTTCTACATCCACATCTCTAAATAAACAAGATGTCCTATCACTTCTCCTTGGTACCCAAATTGCATTCATTTAACTGAGCATTACTTCCGTTAGGTTTTGAGGTGAGTGTGGAGTACGTATGTCTGTTGGTCACCTATACGCTGTTACTTTATTATTAAATACAGTGACAAGCGAGGAAATGCAGCAGAGTTTGCAGTATTCCACATCATGAGTCGGATCCTTGAAGCTGCCAATGGGCTGTGCATGCCCCTTCCTCCCGGTGAGTCCTGCAGAGGTGGACAGGTCGCTGTTTTATTCCTTGTTTGGGAGCAAGTTTTGATTTGAACTTCTTCCAAGGAAATAAGTCATGGTACATGCAGCCAAGTTACCTTCAGCTGTCCTGAAATGCATGCAGTGCAGCTGCATTGAGAACTTCCTCTAAACACCTGTAGTGAAACAAGGAAGCCCTAAGTAGCTATTGCAAACTAAGACACACTAGAGTTTTTAGAAAAGCTTGAGCCCTGAGTATGCCAACGCCATTTCAGTTCTGGGACAAAATGCACCAAAACTATGTTTTTTAGGCTTTTTCCCTCTTTTAAAAAAAAAATTCAGTAGTTGCCCACAAAGTTGGCCATCAGTTTCAAGGGCAACAAAGGTAAATCATGTCCAGTAGTAAAGCAAACAGCCGTATGGTGCCCTGCTCATGTTCTTCACTCCTAGTAGAAAAGGCTTGCTTGGGGACAGGGTCGTGGCCATGCTGCTTCACACATGTGGCTCCTGCATCCATGCATGTCTCCACTGACTGTAACCAAAGAGTCGGTTCTTACAGAGCAGCTTGCATAATTGAGGCCTACGCTTCCTAATCCAGATTGTCCTGCAATGCTGCAGTGACACCGGGAGGTATCAGTTAGTGCAACTTGTGGCCTTTCACAAGGGTCCCCCACCAGCTAACATAGAAACCACTTTTGAAAACTAGCTGTAGCTTTGAAGTATGAATTAAAGGTGAAAGGTTCACTCATTGCCAGATTTGTGACCTATCCCTGTGGATCGTAGTTTTTCAATCCTTCTGTGTCCATCAGATGCTTCATGTCCATCTCTGGGACTGTATTGGGAGCAGCAATCAATTTGTCCTCTGGAAGTACTTTACTTCAACAGAATACCTCTTATGAGACCCTGTCAGGGACTTTAGTCTGGGAATATTCTCAAGACTTCAGCTTCTTAGGCCTTTAGAGTACAATGACACACTAAATACATGATTGTGATTTATAGAGGAGGGAGATCATGACCTTCCCCTGCCTCCATCTCTCCAGTCCCAACAAATGGATGTCTCAGTTGGGGACACGGGCAGTAAAGGTGGAAAATGATGATCTGATCTAAAAGCAAAAAGATGAAAGTGCTACAAAGCACCTTAAAGCTGATGTCCAATCTGGAAGAATGCAGTGACTATGCAGAAGGACCCATAGGAACCTAGTTTTTTTTTTTTTAGAAATTTGGCTCTCAAAATCATGGTACAGATTGTGCTAAAATTCCAATACCAAGAGCTTCTGATAACCCCTATACCAGATACCTTTTGTTCTGTTCTTTAAAAAGAAAATAATTTGGAAGAATTCAGTTCTGGTGTATTACATTGTATAAAATTGTGTTGCTGCTTGCTTTGCCAAAGCAGTCAGGGGTTTACAGGAAGATCTGGTAGATTTGAACTGGATTTTAATCCCATTAAGAATGTTCTTGCTGAAGGACTTGGCTTATCACCACCACCATGAGTTATGGCAGCAGTGTGCTTCTAACCAGGTAGGAGGAAAATAGGACTGAATATATTTCATGCTTCTGATCAGTCTCAAAAGTCCCTCATTACTAATGCTGTTCTGTGCTGGGTGATGGCAGCTCATACATCTAGTCTCTATTGTGCAGGAGAACGGGTAGCAGTTTCATACAGTGCTTGGGAAAATGTTGGTGTTTAGATGAATTGGGGGGACAGGCATAAGAAATGCAAAATATTTTGCAAACAGTTTGATTATGCTGGATTTGCAGATTTTGCAATAAGAGAACTGCTGTATGGGCTGCTTCCAGTCTTCTCCTTTTTCTTTCCTATTTCTTGCAAGGTATGGAAAGATCACAAAGTGAGCACTTCCATATTAAGAGGGAGGGTTTTAAATTAGTCTAAATCAATTATACTAAATAAAAGTTGCTGGAGTCATTGGGCATCAATGTCAGGATTTAGACATCATTGTGATGGCATGGTGATTTTAACTCTCTCCTTCTCTTTCCTCCTCACTCCACCACTTCCACCTCCAAAAATGAATTGGAATGAACTTGGTAATAATAGAGTTGTTGTCTTCTACTGAGCTTCAGTGCTGTGAAGGGCACAGCAGTAATAAGGACGTTTTGCTTAGAAATATTGTGCTTCTGTTGTACACATGACTTTCTCTGTCTTTTTAGGTTTTCATAGTCTACACTTGGGACTTGGAGTTCGATGTCTTCCTTTGCACACTCTGCTGCATTACATAGATAATGGAGTCCTGCACCTCACAGAAACATGTGTCAGAAAACTTTTCAAAGGTACCCTAGATTTACTAGCAGCTGGTTAGCACCTCATCTATTAATCCTGATGGGTAACATTCCTTTTAGCAAGCTTGTTTTGGAAAGGGATACACTCAAGGCATTTCATATGAACAATTGTGACTTTCTCAAGAGCTAACTACTTTTTAAATTTGCCCTTCTATTTCTTGCAATATGTAATGAGACAAAAATGCAAAGCTGCAGGGCTCAATTCCACCCCCAGAACTGAAAGTTAAAGAGTTATTTCTTTGAACTTCCTCGAAACCTTTAAGGTTGCACAGGACAAAAAATGGGCATGAGTTTACATAAAACTGTCCATAACTACAAAAGACGATGAAATATCTACCTTGAACTTTCTGGCTGATACATTTTGAAACCAGGGAAATACATAGAATGATTCTTTTTCATATGACAAAAATCGTGTGCCAGAATCGCATTTCACATTGGACAGACCTGAGCCAGGATCAAAATGGGGTGTTGAGGGCATTGAGGTTTCCAGGGCAATAGAAGATGGAGCATGCTATAACTACGTGGTTTGCAGTCTGTGAGGGGTGCCACGTTGGCAAGTGGAACTTGGTGTCAGGCCCGTGTGATGCATGTTTATGGTGGAAACAGCCATAGCTGGTTCAGAGTCTGTTGAGGCAGATCCAGGAAAGTCTGTCCAAATCGAGGCCGGGAGGTCTCATACTGGGTTTGGGATGAATGTTTTGAGTCTTAGAGGCCCATCGTTCTTCCCATAGTTGTGTAGCCCAGTTGTCTGGGGAAAAACCTTTGGAAATAAGAGTGCGGATGTGCAGGTGGGCGATCAGAGGTGCTAACTGAAAGAGTAATAGTAATGGTTAAATTTAAAAATATTTTTAAAAAATGATTTCCCTATAAAGCAACTGAATTAGCCTGCTCGACAGCGCTCAGCAGTATTGCTTTGATTCAGATAAGACACAGAAAGGTTCCGATGCTGTAGTTAGTGGAATAGCTGACGTTCTGCAGAGGGCTGCAAAGAGTTGTTTTTAAAAAAACAAAACCTGGCACCAGTCAGTTTAAAACACTTGTGCTTGTTGTTGTTGTAAGGGTTTTTGTTTAATTGAAATATGCTGTGTTGCATCCACTGGGATGACTTTTGAAAGTATGCTAATAAGTTTACCCCTGTTCTTTGAACTATGTTGTCAAAATGCTAAACACTAGGAAGTAGTGCATACTGACGTGAGAAATGATTGTGCAGCACCATGCTCAATATATGTACCCTGTGCTAGGCTGTTGGGTTCTTGCCAGAAGTTCAAGTCATGGATCACCCTGCTCTGTATTTCTTGGAATAGAATCAAGTGCATGTAGCTATTCCTAAAAAGAACAGGGAAACCAATATGTGGCTTTATAGATCATACTGTGACCACAACCTTGTTCATTGCCCTTTTAGCTTGGAGAGGGAGCCATCAGAAGCATAATTCACTTAGTTTACCTAAACCTAAGAATAACAAATATGGTAGCTGACTGGTTTGGCTTAGCAGAGAACTCTTCAGTGAGCTTAAATACCAAAAGGAAGCTTATAAGAAGTGGCAGCTTGGACAAACAACTAGGGAGGAGTATAAGACTATTGCTCAGGCATGCAGGGATAAAGTCAGGAAGGCAAAAGCACAATTGGAGTTGCAGGTAGCAAGGGACATGAAGGGTTTCTACAAGTATGTCACAAGAAGAGGAAGGTCATGGAAAATCTGGGTCCCTTACTGAATGGGAGAGGCAACCTAGTGACAAATGATGCGGAAAAGACTGAAGTACTCGATGCCTTTTTCACCAAAGTCTTCACAGGCAAAGTCAGTTCCCAGACTACTGCAGCAGGCAGCACAGTTTGGGGAGGAGGTGAGCAGCCCTCAGTGGTGAAAGAACAGGTTAGGGACTGTTTAGAAGAGCTGGATGTGTACAGGTCCATGGGGTCAGATGCAATGAACCTGAAGGTGCTGAGAGAGTTGGCTGATGTGATTGCAGAGCTGCTGGCCATTATCTTTGAAAACGTGCAGCCATCAGGAGAGGTCTTGGACAATTGGAAAAGGGCAACTAATAGTGCCCATCTTTTAGAAAGGATCCAGGGAATTACAGACCAGTCAGCCTCCCCTGAGTACCTGGAAAAATCATGGAGCGGATCCTCAAGGAATCCATTTCTAAGCACTTGGAGGAGAAGGTGATTAGGAACAGTCAGCATGGATTCACCAAGGGCAAGTCATGCCTGACCAATCTGATTGACTTCTGTGATGAGATGGCTGGCTGTCTGGAAGTGAGGAAAGCAGTGCACATAATGTAGCTTGATTTTAGCAAGGGTTTTGATACCGTCTCCCACAGCATTCGTGCAAGCAAGCTGAGGAAGTATGGGTTGGATAAATGGACTGTAAGGTGGATAGAAAGCTGGCTGGATTGTCTGTCTCAGTGGGTAGTAATCAATGGCACAATGTGTAGCTAGAAGCCAGTGTCAAGTGGAGTGCCCCACGGGATCAGTCTTGGAGCCACTTTTATGTAATGTCTTCATCAACAACCTGGACAATGGGTTGCAATGTACCCTCAAGCTGGGGGGAGTAGTAGATATGCTGGAGCATAGGGCTAGGATTCAGAGAGACCTCAACACAATGGAGGGTTGGACCAAAAATAAATAAATCTCATGAGGTTCAATAAGGACAAATGCAAAGGCCTGCACTTGGGACGAGAATCGCATGCGCTGCTACAGCTTGGGGACTGACTGGCTAAGCAGCAGCTCCGCAGAAGAGGACCTGGGGGTTACAGTGGACAGTTAGCTGGATATGAGCCAGCAGTGTGCCCTTGTTGCCAAGAAGGCTGACAGCATCCTGGGCTGCAGTAGTAGGAGCATTGACAGGAGATCGGGGGAAGTAATTATTCCACTCTATTCTGCATCGGTGAGGCAACATCTGGAGTACTGTGTCCAGTTTGCGCCCCCCACTATAGAAAGGATGTGGTAAAGTTAGAAAGAGTACAGCAGACAGCAATGAAAATGGTTCACATGAATTATGAGGAGAGGCTGAGGGAACTGGGTTTATTTTGTTTGGAGAAGAGAAGCGTGAGAGGGGATTTGATACAGCCTTCAGCTACCTGAAGTGGGGTTCAAAAGAGGATGGAGTTGGACTGTTCCCAGTGGTGGCAGATGACAGAACTAGGAGCAATGGTCTCAAGTTGCAGCAAAGGAGGTTTAGGTTGTATATTAGGAAAAGCTTTCTCACTAGCAGTGTGGTGAAACACTGAAATGGGTTACATAGAGAGGTGGTGGCATCCCCATCCTTGGAGGTTTTTAAGGTCCGGCTTTACCTTGACCTTGGAAGATCATAGAGTCCAGCCCCCCACCCGAAGGGCAGGAAGTCAGCTGGGGTCATAGGATCCCAGCAAGATAAGCATCCAGTTTACTCTTGAAGGTGTTCAATGTAGGTGCTTGAACCACCTCCGATGGCAGGCTGTTCCAGACCTTGGGGGCTCGGACA